CCGCATTTCTGCTTCTGTGCACTGGTATGCCTCTCTTGGTTCCCTTCGCACAAAGCGGACCGGCAAGGTCCCAATAGGCCCATCATCTTCCTAGTAGCAGACCCGGTATTGCACCTTCTCTTCCCACATACAGATGGTGGCTCCGATCCCAAATAGGTACTCCACTCCTATGAGCAAGTCGAAGTCTTCTGACTCTGACACTCCACAATCCACTCGTAGCGCACACTCCTTTTCGTTGGTTGAGCATTAGCGACATGGATTGCCTGGTCTTGGGCATCCATTTCGCCTCCCCCCCTTCTGCCGTCATCAAGAGGTAGCCTTCCGCTATCAGCCGCCCCGGCTTGTGCAGCTGCAGCTTCTCCGCCAGCCGTCTCCCGATCAGTACATGTGCCGCGCCCGTATCAACTATGGCCCGTTGCGCCGCGAAGCCCCCGATAGTAACCGCCCCAGCTGCAATGGTTAGTACGGTGGCCTGGCAGGTCATCCTCTCCCTCGGGTGTCGGAACGCTGCTCCTGGGGCTTCAGTGTTATCACTCGCCCGTCGCCTCGGCCCTTCCTCTCGCCGCGCATCCTCAGGGAAGTTCTGCCTTCTTGTGGTCCTCCGCAGGCCTAACTCGTCACGATCGCGCGCTGGCTGAGCCATGAGCATGAACTCGGGTTCTTCGGCATTTTCCTCTTCATGCGCCACCATGGCCGGTTCTCTCTGCTCGGAGGCCTCCAGCTCGGCCAGTTGAGCTCGCAGCCGCGCGATAGTGGCTTGTCGATCCTCCCCTCCGTCCGCACCCCGTCGTTCCCTTCGCCCCGCGTAACAGTCTGCTTCCCGATGTCCTTTCCGATTGCACCGCGCGGAGACCGGTGCGGCTGGACATTCCCTTCGCATGTGATCTCGGCTCCCACACAGCGAACAGGCCGCGGGGTTGTGAAAATCTCGCCGCAAGTGCCCAGTCAGTCCGCACTTCGTAAAGCCGCCGCCCTGTCTCGACACGCTTCACTATCTCATATGCTTCCTTCAAGGTGGCCTCCGATCCCATCTCGAACACCCGCACTTCCACGTCCTGCCGTAGGGGCAGACTCAGCCCATTCACAAACTTCCCTATCAGCCGTCCTTGGTCGGTGCAGTTCATGTCTTCCCCCAGCTCCACGAGTCTCCCATAGTAAGCCAGCAGCGACTCTCCTTCCCTGCGACGGAATCCCCGGAAATCGACCACCCTCTCCGCCGTCTGCAAGAGAAACTGCTCGCGAAGCATGGTTAGAAAGCGCGTCGTTGGGTCCCGTTCGCCAGGTGCTCGCCCTGCTGCCCATTCCAGCAGTTCTCTCCTGGAGATTCGATAGTAGGTCTCAGCTTCTGCCGCCAACGTGTTTGCAAGCCCCCTGAAGAACTCCGGGTCCAACCGATCTTTCGCCCAGCGCGCCTGCAAGTTCTCAAGCTGCATGATGTAATTCTTCAAACTCGGCCCGCGCCTCGCGTCTCCTGAGAATCTCTCTGGCACTTCTATCTTGGGCAACTGCGTATACTTCCAGCGCTGCATCGTCGTCTCGTCTTCAGTTCCTTGCCATGAGGCGCTTCGCTGGTAAGCACTCGGTCCTCCCGGCTGCGAGCGCCCCGGCTGCTGGCTGCGCAGGCGCTCCCTCTGTTCATCGGACGCGTTATTCCCACCATCCCCTGGATCGATTCGAGCGCCGCCTTGCGGTCCACTCGCCCCTTCGCTAGGCCCGTTCTGGCCTTCCGTTCTCCCTGTCTCCTGCGACTGGTTCGCCGCCCGATTACTCCCTTCGTCGGTCATTATCTCCTTGCCCGTGCTCAACTTAACCGTCACCGGCTCTAACTGCCGTCCCGATCTCAGTTGCATAGACTGCGTGTTTGTATGCTAATCTCCCTCCTAACTCATCTTGACTGATGTTATGGCTCCGTGCTAGAACTGCTTATCTTGGAGAATGCTGCAGTAATTCACGAAAACAAACACGCAGTGGCAGTCCCATGGCCCAGGACCTTGCCTTAAGCTTCCCAACACAAACCCTAGCAAGGCTAGCCTAACAATGCAACAGTGCTAAGCTGCCTAGCTTGCCATCCACACTACCTTCCCACCCATCTCCAGCTGGCGTTGCTGCCTCCCAGCTCTGTCCTGGACTCGATGTCTGCAAGAAGAAACCAAAGCACACACATGCATACCACACATCATACATCACATTCCCCACCCGCACCCCCATCCACGTCATCTCTCTGCCAACCGTGCCAGCACACCCCCACCCTTCGCTACTGCCGCCCTTCCCCGAATTCAATCCCTCGCACCCACCTTCCTGCCACCTGCCTCCTCCTGCCACACCGCTGCCATTACAGTTCCTCGCCACAGTCTGCTTCGCTTATATACAAATGTAAAGGATTTCCACCTTTACCCTCCGCTACACCCTCTGTCAGGATTTCTTAGGTGTTAACCTCAGAATTGTGACATATACAACCAGTACGCCAGCTTGGCATGCTATTTTAGACGCGGACACTTTACTGTTCAATGTTTGTCATACCATGAAAAAAAAAGGGGCGACGAATCGAACATGTTCGAGTCGAACTGAACAGGCGTTTGAGCTTTCGCTCATGTCTATGTTGTTCCATAGGCGTTTGTTTTGTAAGTACGGTGAGGTGGCTATTTGAAGCTATGTTGCGCCTGACGCGTCAGGCGTTTTAGACGCTTGACGCCCGGTGCCCTCTGCCCTGGACGCCCGCTTGACGCTAGTCCGGGCAGGGCAAAAATGTTTTCCGGGCAGGGGTAAAAAACCTGCCTAGTAAGGATACGCAGGGGTTAGAATGCAAGAAGTTAACATATGTCACCTATAGTTATAAATACTCCATAATATCCAGAAAATCCTGAAAATCTCCAGAAGGCGTGGAGGCACTAACAGAATGACCGGCGGGACTAGGAGTTGACATAATATCTTAATCGCCTCAACCTAATTTTAGCTAGGAAGGCTTAGTAGCGTGACTGGCGAATTCTAGTGTAAGGAATGCTTGACAATGTCGAGAGAAACAGATCTGTGTAATGTCGACCTAGATCTGGTTCTCTAGTTTAGTTGGGGGTCGACCAGGTTGGGAGAGGTAGATGTGGATGGGTACAAATGTGTGGGGGGGAATAAGTGAGGGTTGCGTTTTTTAGGTCAAAAACGCGGCCCCCAGATGGCAATTTCATCGTCAATTCTGGTCGCAATGAAATCGCGAGTCAATTTCGTGCAGGAGATTTTTTTTTCGGGCTGCCCGATTTTTTTTCCCCGAACGTCCAGCGTCAAACCGATTTGACGCGTCTAGCGTCCGGACGTGAACGTCCGGACGCTGGACGCTGCCCTTCCAGGGCGTCAGGTGCAACATAGATTTGAAGTGTTGGTGATGCACCAGACCCGAGGATGCTGTGAAGCTTTTTTAAGGTTATTTCAACATATAAGTATGTATGTGTTACAAATAAACGTATATTTTATTTCCCCAAAAGATACATCAAACTATGTTGAGGAAGACGCTTAGGAAGGAGACGTAGACGCACGTGAAGACGCAGGGCAGTCGGCGGATCTTTTTTGGGCTACCCGAAAAAAATAAACCTGCTAAATTTTCATCAAATCGTTTATTCCGTGAAATCGTTACCCAATGGGAGCGATGTCGCCAAGCAAAATCGCGAACGAATGGGAGTGATTCTGCTATTTTGCAAAGCAAAATCGCTAGCAAATCATTTTTCCCCCAACCACCACACATTACCGCACTGCATCTCCCCCTCCCAATTTTGTCGACCTGAACCCAGTGTATGAAGAGAATCAGGTCGACATTCAGAGCTTTCTCTCCTAGTCTACCTGATTCTCTTTCGAAAACCCCAAATCTCAGTTTTGTGGAATTTCGGTGTTGATTTGAGATTATATTGATAAACCATGTTCAATGTGGTTGCAATGTCCCGAAACTCGCTCTCCACCTCCTATACGGTTTTTTTGCCTACCCGTAATATTTTGTTACCCTGCCTGGCCCAGCGTTTTTTTAGCGTCCTATTCACAGACAGGTAAGCGTCCAGCGTCTGGACATTGGACGCGTCTTTCTCAACACAGCCATCAAATACCCTTAAAATGAAGGCTGTGCCTTTGTACAATCGTTTTTTCCCACCTTGATTATGGGCATGAGCAACAGTCGAGCTCGAACAGGTTTGATTTGGACGCTTTCAAAGTTGTGCCTTTGTCTTCAAGGCACGGTTCGACTGTTCGACTAAGCTGTCGAACAGTGTTGATTTCGGTTCGAACACTAAGGTGTTCGACCCAAATTCGAACTGGTTCTGTTTTCGGCCTCCATTCACCCCTTTGCTATGTTGCACATAGCAACATAGCAATCAGATTGGGGTCGCCCTGGTTGGATAATGGGCAAGAGTAATCGGTATGAGAGGGAGAGTGGCGAAATGACGACCACGATCTCTTTTCTACTTCAGATTATGGTCGCCCTAGTTGGAAACTGGACATTTGGAGTGGTTGAAATAAGCATGGGCATTTGACCCGACCCGGCCCGACCCGTCCCGTTGAGGGCGACCCGTTAGCTTAATGGGTCGGGTCGGGTCGGGTTAGCGGGTCGGGTTTGACTCTGTTTTGGTGACCCGACCCGCCCCGTGGGAACGGGTATTTGTGACCCATTACCGGGTCGGTTACACCACGGGTCGGGTCGGGTCGGATCAAAATATGTTACATAGCAGCAGGGTATGGGGGTTAGGTCTAAATTGCTACATTGTAAACTACATGTTACAACTATATTCTTAAGTTTATACGTACCTTACGCTAGCCCAAGGTGCATGAATTCCAGGGCATCCAAACATGAAATGCAGTAGTTTTTTTGCTTCAAACAAATGTCTATGGCGTATGTCAATAGAACAACAACCCTGTTTGTGAAGTGAATGTCAATCAAGCATGGAAATAAATAAAATCTACTGTATCTCCAAAAGGGTTATGGCAAATGGCCTAAGGCCTATAGCGACCACTCCCGCAGCAAACATTGCTCAAAACCCATCGTCCACGGCCTCATAGCACAACTCCACAAGCAAACGCGCAGCCCCTGCCACGTTCAATGACCTGCCGCTCGTGTTCTGCGCCATCCATGACTTGATAGCCATGAGGGCGCTAACACGAGGGGCGCTCAAGCGGTGACGCTGCCATGTCACTACGTTCCTGCCCTGGCTAAAAGCGCGCTCGCTCGCTGCAGATGTGGCTGGCACTGCCAGATAGTCCCGAGCCATTTCCCTCAAACCCTCTAAATCCTTCCTATCACGCCAGTACGCTAGCGGGCAACCCTTCTGTCTACCCTCAGCCAAGTATATGTCCACCTCGTCACTTCTCTGCCCCCCCCTTGCTGCCTCAAATGCATCCATCTGTGCAAAAAGCGCATTTTGGAAGCTAACCCCCCCGCTGCCAGCGGCACGCGACGTCCCTGCGGCCTGAACACTAACACCAGCGCCGTCAGTGACCTCCCCCATGCCACTCGTAACCTCACCACCACCTCCCCGACTGCGCACCCTCTCCTGATATGCGACCAAACGATCGCGCACCAGGCGCATCACCGTCGGCTCATCCACGCCCTGCACACTCCTAGCACATCCCCCCACTTCTGTCACTTGCGCTGCATTGAGCGCCTCCCACTGGGGCATCTGGAAGAAGATGGTCTTGTAACGGGGGTCAAGGAAGGTGGCGATCGCCAACTCTTCCTTGGTGCCGTACGGGTACTTCTTCAGCTTGCCGAGGGCTTTGGTGATGAGGGCCTGTGTGAGGGGTGAGACGGCTGGCTCGCGGTAGGTGATTTCCATGTTGTCCAGCAGTTGGTTGTACAGCGGCACCACTGCTGCAGCTGTCGGGTACAAGGAAGCCTCAGCTACCTTGGTGATCGAGTGGAAGGGCTGAAGAAAGTTCTTCAGCTCGACAAGCGCGTCCCAGTGGACGTCACTGAGACGTATTTTGTCGAGCTGCTCGCGTAGCCTACGGGGGGGGGGGGGGGGGGCTGGTATAGGACAACAACAAGGGTGGTACAGAGGGTTCACAAACTTAGTATACAATGGTGATGAAGTTACTCGTTACTAGATGGGTCCCAACATTGAGCTGATACACCATCCATATAGCCTCTTCAGACATACCGACAAACTATGCTAGACAACTCAACCCCCTTTCAAATCCTGCCCATACTCACGACCCTTGGGCGCCACACCATTCTCCCACACTCACTATTCGATACAGTCACAACTCCTCTAGCCCCTGACCAGCTACCCAAACTCACCATTCAATATAGTCACAACCCTTGGTGCGCCACACCAGCCCCATAAACTCACCATCACCCAACATATACACACTACCGGAGCCTATCACTCACGTCAGTCCGGCTGGAAAACACCGTCAGTGCCTGCTGCAGCTCCAAGGCACGGCAGATCATCTCGTAAGTGGAGCCCCAACGTGTAGGCGAGTCGCAGATCAGACGTAGCACCTTCGCGTTGTCTCTGCCTGCCAACCTGCGCTGCAGACTGGCAAAAGCCTCTGACCGCTGGACCGACCATCCAATGTACGAACACGCATCCCGTAGGCGTTTCAACGCCTCCTTCACATCGTCCAACTTCAATGCCTCCTGCACTGCAATGTTCATGACATGTGCAAGACAGCTGTGTACGAAAAGGGCATAAGGGAAGGAAACAGATTTAGCTAAGGTTGATGTCACCTCGTGATAAAGTTACTACTACAGTATGCTGCCAAAGTGCCACATTTGAATCGATGCATGACAGGACGTACCGAACGTGACGCGCAATGTCGAGCAGTGGATTAGCTGTCCAGGCCCCTGGCCCCTCTGCTGGGTCCCCCGACAGAAGGCGCATCGCCTTGTTGTTGTTCTCCACATTGTCCGTCGTCACAGCAAACACTACATCCTGCAGGCCAGCCTCGGTCAAGATGCGCTCGAGGGTCTGTGCTATGAGAGACCCTGTGTGCGAACCCTCCAACTGCACGAAATCCAAAATCCCCGAACGTAGCCTGAAGTCACTAGTGATCCAGTGGACGGTCACACACATGAAAGCTGTATGGTTCTCACTGGTCCAGATGTCCAAGCTAAGGGACACCCTCCCCGCGAGACCGTCGCCAAAGATCTCCTGCCTCAGCTCCTCTCGAGCCACCTCACTGAATGCTTGCATGTCCCGTGCCAAACGGTAACGTGACCCCAGCAAATCCTTGGCCGATGGATTCAGCAAGGCGACAAATCGACGGAACTGGTGAGGTCGGGCAGGGACAAAGAAGCAAACACACACTTAGCATTGTCCCAGCTGTGTACCAGGGCATCCCAACCCAACTGAGATGTTCAGACAGGATTTGAGACTCCCGGTGCAGGAATAGAGGGTAGAGTAGTTGTTGTTTGACTCACCGAAGCTCGGTCGACAAGACGAAACGGAAGATCCGCATCAGCAAACAACTCCACGAGAGCACTGCGTAACTCGTCCTGCGACACCCTTGGACTCATGAACGCGCGCATGTCAACACCACTACGACTCCCACTCCCCCCCCCCCCTGCGCCACTGCCCGCCGCGGCTGCAGCAGCTGGGATGTTCGGCCAGGCAGCCGCGTGCTCCCATGCACCACCGTGCGGGTTGGGCACTGTTGGCCCATCGCCCGACACGCCATAGCCGCCCCAAGGAAACTCTAGGTCCTTTGGCTTCGCCGGGTCCAGGAACCGCCGCACCCAAATTTGCACATTAGGGTAGTGCGCGCACTTGACATGCTTCCACCCAGTCCCCGTGCTACCCCCATCCCATCCCATTACGTCCCCACACACCCGACACGGACGACAACCATCCTCAAGCTCACCAAACATTCCCACAAGTAAACCAGGGTAGTGCTTCCCTGCCAAACCCTCAACCACCGAATCCTTAGGCAAATCCTCCTTTCGTTGACGCTTTGACGCACGCCCACGACTCCCCGCTGTCCCACCACCCCGACTGATGCCACCAGCATGCAACGGCGTAGACCCAACACCATCGGACCGTTGAGTGGGTGCATTCCCTGGCCCTGGATCGGGCGCAGCCTCGGCCGCTCTCCCACCACCACTGCCACCGCGCCCAGCCCTTGCAGCACTATGCGCAACCCTCCCAACCCTCCCCCCACCTCGTCCATCTACTGGGGGGCCGCTAGCATACCCCCCACTGCGCCCCCCTGCATTGCCTACGGCCTGCGCACGCGCAGAAGACCGACCCTGCCCGCGACCAACCCGTCCCCCCCCACGACCCCCTCGACCCCTTCCTCCCCGTCCATTATCCCCTCCATGTTCCCTGGCATTGCGGCCAGCACCCTCCTCCTCCTGCTCTTGCACCTCCTCCTCCACATTCGCGTCCCCTCCCGCCCCCGCTGCAGAGTCCTCTGCCGCCGCCGCCTCGACCTCCGCTACAGTAGGCCTATACTCATTATCATCGCCTGTTTCATCACGGGTCTGCCCACCACCCTGCCACTCTCGATGAGGACTGCTAGGCCAGTAGGAATCCTGTTCCTCACCCCCTGCATCTCCGCCATCAGTCTCAACAGGGGGCTGTAGAGCACTACCCAGCATAAAGTTGGTTCGTGCTGCAGGTGTTGGAAGTCGATTAAAACTAGCACCTTGCAGAGCTCGTCCTTCTTCATTCCCATCTCCGCCTCCCTAAAGGGCGGGTCGGGTTACCCGACCCGTCCGGGTCAAATGCCCATCCCTACCTGAATTTGAACTTGCACTCAAGTTGCCCCTCCGAGCAGAGATTGAACAGGTCAAATTGGCCTAACAGGATCTTGTCAAACCAAAAATGATGAAAACATAACTCTACTTTGGTTCCACACAAACCGGTTTGCCTAAACCGAACCAAGGTTCGGTTTAGCCATGCCTAGTTGACAGCTATATAAATCTGTTTCTTGACTTGTGCATGCAATCATCTGCACACAAGTTGCCCCAAGCATATTCTCTCCTGTGCTGATATGCCCACTTCCACTGCAGCAACACATCTGGCACCAGCCTCACTTGTCCTGCTGCTGACAGCACCACCTGCGCCCAAACCTTATCGCCAAAGGCGGCCTTCTGCCAAGATTGTGGCACCACCTGTTCTGCATGCCAGCAAGAAACAGGTTAGTGGGGTTCATGAAGCAGTGCCTAGTTTACTTGAATCACCCCCACTACTGCCATGCTTGTGCTGTTGTGAATGGCAGTTCATTCTCTTTGCTCAGATTACATCGAATCTCTTTGCTCAGCTGACATGCTTTTGTTGTGCTCATGTAGCAGCAGCAGCACCAGCAGCACCAGCAGCAGCATCTGGAGGTGGAGGGGGTGTATCAGTGGGAGGCATCATTGGCATTGCTGTTGCTGCTGTGGTCGTTCTCCTCCTGCTTCTGGCTGCCATGTTGCTCTGCTTCAGGCACCAGAAGCGGCAAAGCTCAAAATGTAGGAGAAGCAGGATTGGTTCTCCATGTGTTCAGCTCAGGTCCCACCTCCACACCTTCTCAACGTTCCATGTTAAGATGGTTCCTCTTCATGTCTACTCATTTTGTATGCGTGTGCTCAATAACAACAGGGCAAGACAAGGCGAGGGCTTGCTCATTACCTCCTCACCCTTCACCCCCCACCCCACGACCATGCCAAGGGGCCAGCCTGGCAGCCTCGCACTGCACGGAGTTCTCGCTAGCGGAGGTCCTCAAGGCCACCAACGACTGGTCCCAGGACAACCTGCTTGGCTCGGGTGCCTTTGGTGATGTCTACAAGGGCGTCTCTCCCCGCGATGCCACCACACCCTGGGCTGTGAAACGCGCCAAGCTCATGGGCGCGGAATTCCAGAGGGAGGTGAGTGAGCTGCATATGGGGAGGTGGCTGGACTGCAGACTCCGTCAGTCAACATGGGGATAAGACAGTTCGGTTTTCCATTACTTTCAAACAGAAAGACGCTTCATCTAAAATTTCGCTATCTATTTTGATCAGGACTATTCTTCTTCCTAAGCTGAGCGAGCAGAATCAAATTTCCTCCTTTCCTTCTCAACCTACTCTTTCTTTCCGGGCATCTTCCTCCTGTTCCCGTGTGCCGGTTATCTCTTCCTCCAGGTCATGCAAATGGCCGACAAGAACCATCCCAACATTGTGCGACTGCTTGGGTTTGCGGTGGGAGGGGACGTCAGGTCTAAGATAGAGCAAGTCCTCATCTATGAGCTTGTGTCCAATGGTGACCTTGAGAAGTGGATAGGACCAAGTAAGTGTGCAAGTCGTTGTGTCGCATTCCCTTGTACAATGTTACTCGTGGTAGGCCACTCATGCTGCCTGGTGATGCTTGTCATGAAACTCATCCCGTGGCTCATTGCAGATGCACCTGCTCCTCTGAGTCTGAAGCAGCGGCTAGACATCCTCATTGGTGTTGCACGTGGCTTTGAGTATCTCCATAGCTTCGACCTTGTGCATCGCGACATCAAGCCCGCCAACATCCTCATCACCAGCGACATGCAGGCAAGCGCGGTTGCAGCATCTCACACTGCATAACAAGATGCTTCTGTGGAAAGAAATGAAGAACTACCCATGAGAATTGCTAGGAATAGGCAGGGCCTGCCGAAATAATTGGTGTGTTCTAGTTTGGTTCGGCGAGTCTCTTTTTTTTATCTAATTCTGCATATGGCTCACACTCACTTACACGTTCGAGATTACCGTGTCTGGGTGCAATTCTGGTTCACTGCCAATGACCAGCGTATGTCGTTTGTTTTGTCACCATAGAATTTTCTTTCTTTTGTGCTGGTGCATTCATAATATCACATTGTCGAACCACCCACCAGCCCAAGATTGCAGACTTTGGGCTGGTGAGGGTGGAAGAGGGCACGACAGTGGGCACGACTCGAATCATGGGAACACCGGGCTATGTGGATCCGGTTTACAACCGGACGTCCAAGGCCACCACAGCCAGCGATGTCTACAGGTGAGCCAAGAGTCGTATAAAGATCGTGCTATGTGAGCCGGAAGACTCTGGGAGATGGCTCCAATAATGGAGACTCCCGAGGATATAAAAACGTGGCATGTGCCTCGTCATGTCGATATTGGCTTATGCATTAGATTTGCACCTGGAACAAGCACGTAATGAAGCAATGCTAGTTGGTCAACCCATCCAGCCTAGTTGGTTGGATACTCAATTTATTTCCCTTCTTGACTGAACACCATTGACATCCTCCACATGTTATTTGAATTCACAAAAAAAAACAGTGGTCACATTCATGTCACCATTGCCTTGCTCTCACCATCGCATTGCTCTCACCACCTCTCGCACGTTGCAGCTTTGGTGTGCTCATGCTTGTGGTGCTCACTGGACGGTCTTTACTTTCCCAGGATGCTGGGGAGGCCAAGCACATTGTGGTGTGGGTAAGTTCCACTCAGGCAGCTTGTTGCATGTTGCCATAATCGCATTCTTCCAATTGAAGTGAAATATTATGCTTCATAGGCTAACTGATGTTTTTTTCACCTTTGCAAACTTGCAATTTTGTCCATCCTCTTCCACTCTGTCAGGTATCCGAGTGCCTGTCGTCGGGTGGTTCAGAGAGCCTCAAGCACCCCACCATGGACGCCCCTGGGGATGTTGTGCAGTACTTGGCTGAGCTGGCAGTGAGCTGCACCGTGGAGCGCACTGCAAGCCGCCCAAGCATGGCGCACATTGCCACCCAGCTGCAGGCTGTCAGGGAGGAGGTGGCGGGGAAAGAGGAATCTGGCGCTGCCATCAAGGTGGATGCGCAGGTCCAGGAGATGAAGGATAGTGTTGCGGGTGAGAACAGCCTGGAGGCACAACTTCAAATGATTGCGGATAGGGGCAGCTTCATCACCGAACACCCAGTCTAGGATTGGGATGAGGTAATCGTGGTTCATATGTGACATTGTTGCATTGTATGCATCATTCCAGCCTCCTGATTGCTTTGGGGGGCCCAAGGGACTGCCCTGCTGTTTGTGATACTTACCGTTACTTGCTCATTTTTATACCTTTTCTTTTTACACTATAGGACGGCTTGACTTGTCTTGAAATCAGACGCGCGGCAGCGGCTTAGTGGAGGGAAATCCTTGTTTCCACCTGAATCATAGGCAACCCTCCACGCCAGGGCTGACACTACGAAGTACAGACCTTGGAAAACTGCATAGGCTTCTATATGGAGCATTGCAGTTATATTCGGTTCTCAAATATAAGCGCACCCCCTAACAAAATGTGATTTGTTAAAAGCGCACCCCTATCACTGTAACAAACTTCACCTTAGCGGGCGAGTTCCAAATCCAGTCCCCTTCACTCTTGGGTCACTTGCTGCACGTCCAGTCAGAATGTGCTGCCATACTGGCTCTATGTGTTGGCCAACTTGTGTGTGGCAGACATGGCAGACAACGTACAGACATTCGTCATCTCGTTCAACACCTGCCAACGGGTGAAGAGCAGCAAATAGAAAAAGGAAGGGTTACACCAGCCTCTTCCTATCAGGGCCCAAAATTGGTTTTGGGTCACCCTTTCGGATCAGGGTGGCAGGCCTCTTGTACCCTGACCTATAGGGTAAAACATTTTGTACACTGCAGGCAACAGCCTAAAAACTTCCGTACACTGAATCAATCAGTGTAAAAATCCTAGTACACTGATTCATATCTGTTTTTGCAATAACAACATTAACCAACAAGTAAATGACCATAACATCAACATCCAGCACACACATCACATCACCATCTACTCTGTGCTAAGCACACTTCCATCATCTACAAACAGGCCCCGACGGATCGATGCCCGCGCTGCGCGGGCAATGCATGGCTGCGAGTGCAGCATCACAACGACTGCCAGCGGTTGCGTGGGACAGCACGAAGCTGTGCTGACGCGCTACGTGACAGGAATGGCAGTGGGTCTGGTGTGGCAAGGCATCAATTTCGTGTGCGCTTGCAAAAACAGCTGCGAACCTGGCGACTAGGATGCAATGGCGGCCCGCAGGCCAGGAATCTCAATGTTGCATCTGTGGTCCAATTCGACAAGTGAAACAGTGGGCCACTGGGCCGTTTTGTCTACACGTCGACTGTGTCCGAATCCTTGGTAAGGAAGATTCGGTAAAAGGGTAATGGAAATTGCACCCTGTTCAAAAAGGGTAAATGAAAGTTGTGTCAGTGTATAATATTTCATAGCCGTTTTTGTCTAGGGTAACATATCACATACCCGGATTCTGAAAGGGTAATTGGGAAAAAGCGGCCGCTCATCAGGGCAAACAGGGTAAAATACCTTGATAATTTGGGGCGTGTTTCCTATCCCCGAACAACCTTGGCAAGTAGTTAGCCTAGACTCCATCACCGCGTTACCACCAGTAGCACCAACAACAGCACCAACAGCCCCAGGCACAGCACCAGCAGGAGAAGTAGCATTGGTATATGGCAGTGTTGCGGGCAACACATGCTCCTAATTGAGAACGCGTGTGCCGTCAAACTCCAGGGACTACAGGGCAGCCTCGGCTCAGAGACCTGCTGTGCACTACACAGCACCAGGCCCTGTGTACCCCGCCACCACCAGCAGCACCTCCAGGTGCTCTAGCCCATGCACTGGCGCGGGGGTGCTGTCC